CCTGTAGGCAAAGAAAGAGCCTGCCACAACCCAGACTTGATTCCCTACCTCCTGAATTTAACTCCATAGCCCACCACACTTGGCTGCCATACCTGGTCCCTCTATTCTGTTGTCAGTGTCAATGTCTCTTGTGACTCAACCCCTCTTTCCCATCTACTGAGTTTGACATAAATATAGCTTGAGTACATGAAATTGATAGCACAATATTTCATTACTGATGCACCCTGAGATGAAATGGTAGCTCTCAAAGGCACAGTAAAACTACCATAAGGACTAAATGGAAGAAAATATTGAGAATTCCCGGTGAGAATCCCAACATTTGAACTAAATGGCTAAAGGATAGGTGTCCATAATGGCTAGATTTTGACTCTCACATTTGCTCTATCTCAAATTCTAATTCTAAAGCAAAGCAAGAATGATCTCTATATGCGAGTTCAGGAAATTTTAAAATTTAACTCCAGCTTGGTGGTTAAGTTAAAAATGCCATGTTCATGCATTTAAGATGCAGAAAATCAGTTATTGTTCATTTAAACATTTTCAAAGACAAACTCTATATGCGAGTTCAGGAAATTTTAAAATTTAACTCCAGCTTGGTGGTTAAGTTAAAAATGCCATGTTCATGCATTTAAGATGCAGAAAATCAGTTATTGTTCATTTAAACATTTTCAAATACAATTTTGGCAATTTCTAAAGAGTCTGATTAATGTCAGTAGATTAGGATGCTTTGCATGCATCATACAACAGCCTGGTATATATGCATCAGGTTAATGCATAAGGCCGATGCATCAAGCTGATGGCATCCCAATTAACTGACTCAGATCAAATGCTAAAACATGTAGAGGATGATCAGTTGGGATGCTTTGCATGCATCAATTTGATGTATCAGGCTGATGCATAAGGTTGTATCAGGGTATCATTAGTGAATACGAATACCACACATCAGAATGAAGAGCAGATGAATGAGGAGGTGAGTCTCACTGCATCGTAAAATTCCACAGCAGATATGATTTCACTGAGGGTGTCCCGTGCAATCTTGAAGGTCTTCATGATGTCATCGTATGTCTCGCAACTCACTACAGCAATGCACACCTTCTTGGGTCGTGTTGGACAGCTCATGGCAGCCTGAACAAATGTCATTCACTGACAAGCTCTATGAAATGAGGAAAAATAAAGGGGAGGTAGTAGTCTCATTACTTTGGTGATGATTCCCAGAGTGCCCTCAGATCCAATAAAGAGATTCTTGAGATCTGTTCCAGTGTTATCCTTCTTCACTGTTGACATCAGGTCCACAATCTTCCCATCTGCCAAGACCTATCAGATAGAGCAGTGATGCATAACCTACAGCCTGTATGTGGTCCCCTTCAAACCAGATAAAGATGGCCTCCAAAAAGTAGTGCTAATAATAATTTAAAAAATGAAAGTGTATCATGGAGCTCTAATCTACCTCTAATGATGAATCTTTTGGTCTCTTTGCAGATTGTTCCTGATCCAATAACACAGTCAATGACTGTTATAACATATTACAAGGAAGTGTAACAAGGAAATAATGTTTTGCTTGCCATTAACATCTCATATTTTAGTCTGCATATACTGATGATACTTATGGGAAAGAGTCTGGGAAGAGTTTGAAAATGATCCGAGTGTCAGTCACTTCAGTGCTTACTTAAAATTGTAAAAGAAACAGAGATCAGTAAAATGATACACCCATTTCTCATTATATCTGAAAGCATTACCTGTTACCCAATATTCATTCAAAAACAAGCACTCTTTGAACCAGGATCTGCCCATCTTCACATCATGAAAAGATAACTTGAGACACTTGAGTTTTGAGTTCATCTGGTCCCATAGCATTATCTGCTCAAAATGATTCCTATGTTTTGGTAAAAATCTCAGCTACTTGTATCACATCTCAGGAAGGACAGGAGGAAGGTTTGCCTTCTCTACAGCTGTAATTAGTCTGACTAGCAAGCTCATCCATCT